AAAAATGATGGCATCTTAAAAACATTATAATAACAACTTAAAAACATGTTTTTTTGATGAATTTTGAAAGCTAAAAATCATATTATTGTTTATTATATTTATATAATTAATATATGTAAATATGTATAATTTATTAAACGGGGGCCCCATAGGGGTTTCGGGATGGGACTGCCCGCCCTCGCCCCCGCCCCCGAAATTAAAATGGAGGTTAACTTTGCCCCTGCTCTCATCCCCATCCCTGATTTTTTTTAAGTAAATACCCCCAAACGGGACAGGGGCCCCACGGGACCGGGGTCCCATGAGACTTTTTGACATCCCTACTTCTCATTTGGGTTTTATTGTGATTTTGGCCTCCTTTTTTAGTTATGGATAAGATTGGTGGTGTAAAGTTTCATCCTTTCAAATATGAGTTTGTTTTGCTACCCTTGAGCTTAAAGGTGCAAACTTTAGGAGGATCTTGATGTCATGAGTGTATTTGTTGAGTGCATTTGAAGCTTAAGAGCTTCATCTAGACCTGCATGAACGTAAAATTAACAACTTTACGTGGTTTTCTAGCTCAAGGAAGTCAGATATATGCTTTATGGAGATACTTTTATGGATTAGGTGCTTAATGAATTAAGTTGTTGGAATTTGAGCGAACTCAGCGACTTTATGGATAAACTCGATGAGTTGACTCGATTTTCCCTGATGTTTTGAGAATTATAGAGGAACTCGATGAGTTGGTGAGTAAACTCGGCGAGTTGACTTGGGTTTTCTCGGTCTGTGTAGATTGATGGAAAAACTCGACGAGTTGAAGGACAACTCGGTGAGTTGGGTCAACTTGGACCGTTAACTTTGAGTTTTGACTTATGTATTTAACCAAGTTTTCCCTAAGGGGTGGCTGTGGTAACCTGATTTAAGGAAAATATGGCTAAGGATAATATCCATATGGGGTTGAGCCCAATTTGGAAAATTGGGCAATAAGTGGTTTGAAATGTTTTTTAAAAAAAAAAATTTGTATGATTTTTATGGGTGTTACAGACCGATTGCATGTATCACACCCCTTTCATTGTAAAAATGTATTAGAAAATTTATTTTCTTAAAAAAATATTATCAATTCCTAAGTTTGAGTTCAAACACACCTGAGGGTTTGTTCGAATCCTTCAAACCAAGACTTTGATACCAACTTGTAACGTCCCAAAAATACTAGTAAAAAAAATTCATTTTTAAACCATCAAATCCACATAAACATTTGTTCAAAAACCAATCATAGTAAAATGTTTCTCTCAAACATCAAAGTAAAATATTAATAATCAGTGCCAAAAAAAGCCTTCAGGGATGCAGTGCAGTCAAGCCGAGCCCTTTCCTTTGGAATTGGAAGTATCTAAAAACATTTAAAACATAAACCATAAGCACAAAACTTAGTGAGTTCCTCAAAATACCACATATCATACATATCAGTGTGCCCAACCCTAGGGGTGTATTTCAACCTTACGTGAATGCTATGATCAAACCACAGTCTTACAATCACTTCCAGATTACAACCCAACAATAACCTTTCTGCTATGATCCAACCATGGTCTTCCATGCAAGTCACAAAAGACAAACAAGTGTTATGATCTAACCATAGTCTTTAATACACATGTTGTGATCTAACCATAGTCTTTCATAAAAAGTGTTGTGATCCAACCTAGTCTTTCACGCAAGAGTCACAAAGACAATCTAGCAACTTACATAGTATAGTGAGAAGACTCACCTCACACACATAGTCAACAACTAATAGCTCTCACGTGCAATGAAATGGTGCTATACACATCCTAATAAACCACACAAGGGAAACCCTTAGTTTATCTTCTAAAACTAGCTAATTGACCAAAAGTCAATATTAAAAGTCAAAGTCAACTCTAGATGATCGCCACGATGTGGCCCTCCTTAGCCACGTTGTGGTCGCTTACCGACAAGACAGTCGAGCAAACCCCAATTTCCACGCCGTGGTGAGCAGGATGCCACACTGTGGTGAGCAGGGTGTCATGACGTGGAAATTGGGCTCTCACAGCCTAAAGGATTAAGCACTTAATCCGATAAGCCACTCCATTCCAATATTCTAGAAAGCTTCCTTAGGTCTAAAGTAACATAAAAACCGATGCTTTTTAGATATGCATGTCCAATGCAACTATAACACTCAAACTAGTTTTAAAAAAATGGATAAATAAAACAAGATCCTAAGCATGGATTTCATTACACTAACAAATTTCAGATCTGGAACGTATGTCCACTAAGGGGCCTCAATAGTCCATAAAGTTGCCAACTTTATGGAATCCATGCACATAACTCAACCCAACATGGATAAAATTGGGAAGAAACCTAGATCTAGAATTATATGACGAGAAAAGTGAAGACTTTATACCTCCACAAGATCATAAATGAAGCGAAGATGCAAGATCCAAGCTAGAATCAAGTATATGGCCACCAATATGAGATCCTTATTCCTTCAACCCTCATAAAGTGACTTCACACACTAAAAAAACACAAAAGGCTAGGGTCTGGGAGAAGGTTTGATACCAGAGAGTGAGGGCTGCCAAACGAGGCAACCCTAAAAGTTAGTGCCCTTAAATAGGGCACCAACCCTAAAAATAGGGTTTGACCCAAAATGGCTGCCACGTCGTGGCAAACGTATTGCTACATCGTGGCATTGCATGGATGCATGTTTCCTAAAAAATGGATACCACATCGTAGCCACGACAAAATCCATAAAATACAACAATTAAATCATGAAAGGAATACATGAGAAATGGATGTTACAAAATATATATATATATATATATATATATATATATATATATATATATATATATATATATATATATATATATATATATATATATATTCTACTGTGAATGTTGATGATTTGTATACACGTTAGAGAGATATTGAGAGTTTTTAGTGATTTCCTATGGAGGATTCATTAAATGTTTTTTTTTTCATAAATCATGCTTAAATAAAAAAAAATGATAAATAAAATAAGTTTTTTTTTTAATAATTGTGTCTTTATTCCAAGTTTCTTATTGATCCATACATGAGTGTTCAAATTTCAAGACCATTAATATATAAACCTTTTATCATGTGAAACAACATTTCAATTTGTACTAGGAAGTAAAATCAAAACATTGAGCAGTAGGAAATAGATTTCAATGAAAATTGGGCTGGTTTGGGGTTGCTAAACAATTTATTACTGGCTAATTTCGTTAGAGTTTCACATATTTTTAGAGTTTTTTCGTATGCGAGCATAGTCTTTCATTAGAGTTGCCACTGCTCGATTTTTTGTTGAATGATTAACTATCGATTGATTTTGTTTTGGAGTTGTTGAATGATTTCCCGTCTGTTTCTCACACTTGATTTCTTGGTGAACAATTTATTTGTTGGACTTTTCAGGCGGTGTCTTGGCTAGGATTTGTGAAATAAGGAGCTGAATGAAGAAGAGAAAGCGATATAGAGCAAAGAAAGAGATATATGAAGCACATGACGTGAAAGATGATTAACAGGGGTGGAGTATGTGGATGCATTGCTAATTAATAATATTAGCATAGTCAAAACAACCGACAAAAAAGAAGAAAAAAAATACATAAGGGTATTATAATCTTTTTTATGTGTGTCAACATCTAATACTACAAATACACAACAAAATCAAATCATATAAAAGATTTAAGTTAAAATAAAAAACTAGAAATCAAAAACACAAACAACATCAAACGATAAGGACTATTTGTGTAATTCCCTTATTTCCTTTCCCAAGCAAAAACAAAAAAGATCAAGCAAACCAGATTTGCAATCGGATTGCTTTAGTGACAAAATTAACCAAATTTGCAATGTTTTAAAAACTGGTTTGAATCGGGAATTAAAGAAGATAACGATTTAACTAGCACCGATTCTTTTGAACCGGAATGAACTGACCATTTTTTACAGAAACCGATTAAATTAAACTGGTTGAAGTGGTTAGATTAAATAAAAACATATGTAAATGAATTATTTTGCATAACAAATTTTTTTTTTTCATATCTATTTAGATTTCTTTGACTAAAAACATATAATAAATGTTATAAAGTTTTTTAATGTGTATGTATTCATCTAAAACTATATTTGTTTTTGTATTATATTTTATTTTCTTTTTGATGTATATGGATTAATATAAACTTATACTTATGTGTTTTTTAATTTATTTGGATTGATCTACAACTTGTATTTATATGTATTTTTATTGTTTAAACTTGTGAATGTCTTTGTGCGTGTAGGAAAAAATATGAAAATTCTATAAACCATTTGAAACGACGGTCAAACCGGTTAAACCGAAAACCAGTCATCATACTGGTTCAACTAAAAAATCGGTTTTTAAAACATTGTAAATTTGTGCATTCAGATTTAGGAGATGCCATGGGATGTTTGCACTTTGTATTTTGCAAACAACAACCTATAGATTGAGGTGCACAAACCATTTTATTTTGAACCGATTCGGTTCAGTGGAACTAAACCGATTTGGTTGTAGTCAACACCCGTTCACCCTTAAACTGGGTCGGTTTCAAACCGGTTCACCACCAAAATAATCCAATCCTATACGAATCGGTTCACCATAAACCAGTTCCTCAAACCTGTGATGGGATTGATACTCTTTTTTTTGGCAATGTATTTTTTGAGATATTATGGATAGTGTATGCATGGTTAATTGGAATAATGGTTAGACACTTTAAAAATTGACATATTAAAAAAGAACTCTACTAAGTATACATGTGAATCATATGTGATTTATGCATAACCGGCAACACCGATTCAAAGCTGGTTCGAAGTAAACCAGTTTGAAACCGGTCCTAACAACTAAAAATACGAATAGATAGAAAATCGACGGTTTAATTTGAGATCGATTCGGTTCACCCATAGACCGGTTTAGAGGTTAACCAGCTTTTTGGTGCTACAGCAACCAACAATATGAAGCCCAAGTGTCATGGACTAAACGGCCCATAAGCATCAAGGAAGAGGCCTCGACCACACGTTTCAAAAAGACTTCCCAAAGTCCCGTCGAAAATCGTCATCTCAATTCTCAACTACGCAGGAAATATTTCACGGTGACCACCAACCTGAGCTCCGCCGTACGCATTCGTCGATGGCGGTGGTTCTTTCTGTTGGAAACTCCTCTTTGCACCACCGCAACCGCCGACCTCAGTCGTCTGAGTTGTCGCTCAATAAGCGTTCAAGCAGTAATATCAGTTTGTTTGGCGGTAGGTTGTTCACGCATGACGGAAAACTCGCTCTTAACAGTACGCAAAATTTGTTCAACCGTTCACCTTTCTGGTAATCATTTCTTTCTGACATTATGTATACACATGTATACTTATCCATGACGGCATACTTTTTCCTTTTGCATTCTAATAGCTTTTAGTCTTATGTCATGTCGTTCGCTGTTCATTATGGTTGCTTTAGCTTAAATTCAAGAATTTTTAGGTTTAATTTGAATTGATTTAGCATATGTGTGAACTTGACAAAAGAATGGAAACAAAATTTTAGATTAGTAATGTCGTTGCTAGTCTGATTGACTGATTCATCTCAATTTTGCTCAAAAACCTATTTCTCTGTTAACTTCTAGTAGATTATTCTCAGCAAGGGTTTTAACTGGTAGTTAAAGATTACATTCATTTATGTATGTTATCATATCCTTCATTATCTTTAGTACTAGAAGCTTTCGGGGAGAAGATGCAGAATATACTGACACAACAAGATACATAAACAACTCTGAGGGACAAGATGAAACTACTGATGTGATACTTGGGAGTCAACAACAAAATAAAACCACTGTTACAAGGAGTTCATTGTTGGCACAACTAGCAATACTCCTGGGTGTTGCTGCAACCATCACATTATTGTCCATATGTTTTAAACAGCCCAATCAGGGATCATCTTCTAGTATTCAAATATTGGCTGGGAGTTCACCTACCTCTGCTGTATCCACTGTTGGTTTTTCTTTCAATGCTTTTGGATACAAGATCATACTTCCAGAATACACTCCAGGGTATATACCTGATCTTATTGTGTTCTTAAGCAATGTAAATCCACTTTTGTCATACTCATGTATAAATCTTTACTTATATTATTCATGTCAGATGGATCTATTTTTGGCTGCTGATGGCTGCAGGATGTGGACTTTTTATCAGTGAAGAGGCATTGAATATATGGGTGTGTGACTTTCTTCTATACATTTAAACAAAGCTATGTGAAAGTCATCATGTTGATATATATATAAAATATATGATCTTAAATGTTGTAGGTGGGCATCTCACTAGCACGGATGTTGTCACTGGATGGAACCAGACAGTCTTTGGCTGAATCATTTTCAAGAAATGCCCCACACATTTTGTCCACTGTATTGTGGGTATACTGGTTAGTTTATGCATCTTTATATAAATAGAATAGTCAAACTTTTCACATGCTCTTTTGCAAAACTTGCATTGTAATCTTGAAATAAATCTCAGGGGAGTTTGCATTAGTGATATGATACCATTTTACCTTGGGAGGCTTTTTAAGAAATCTGGTGCATCTGATGATGTTTATTCAAAGGTTTCTTTTTCTTCCTAGATACCTTTTGTACTTTCATATGCATCTTTCTTGATATATACAATGAAATAAAGTGATTAAATTTATATATAATGGCTGTAGTTAGGGATTAGCAAAGACAAAGCACTTGGCCTTACTAACATTGTTCAAAGATATGGGAATCTCATTGGTTTTGGTATGTTTTACTTATGCTCTATTACTTCCTATTAACATGCTCACATTTATGTAAAATTACTTTTCTGAAGTGTCATCTGTTAGTTTATTATGCCATTTCATAAATCTGTATTTCTAAACTCTCTTCATCTTTACATTTTAATTTGCAGTTGAACGATTTTCTCTAGGGGTGAGAAATCCAACAGCCTTTTTTGCTGGGGCACTGGTTAGTGAACATAGGTTTTTATATAATGCCAAACTGTTCAATATCATAAATCATAATTTCTCATTTATCACAGGATATATCCCCTGAGTGTTTCTTTGCTGGTGTTTGTTGTGGTGGCTTAATTACTCTTCCAATTCAGGTTACATAATTTCTATCTCATCACATGGTTTCCATATTTTTACAATTAATATAATAATTTAGTGGACTTAAATCATCTATATTTTTTTTGGTTATCTGATGCCTCCATTTTCACTGTGAATCTCAGCTTGCAATTGGCTTCTTACTGAGAGAACGCCCTGTATTTGCCATTGCCACTGTTGCTACAGTAGTTGTAAGAATCTATCCCTTACACCTACCCCTATACCTCAAATCATCTTGTCTTTTTTTTTTTTTTTTCATTCAAAGTAAGCTAATAAATTTTTTGTGATTATACAGGGAGTATGGACTGTGTTCCCATATGCTGTGGCAGCTATAACAGCACTATTTTTTTACCTGAGAAGGCGTTACTCTAATTAACCTTGCTACCAATTAATGAGGTACCAAGGATTAGATAGATATTATTAGTTTATTACTATTAACCTATTCAAAACATTACATTATTTTCAGGATGATAGATAATAGATGGTAGATAAGAAAACTAGAAAGAAGTAAAATTTAATGTGTAGATAGATTTCGAGAGCTCATTTTTCAAACCACAAGAGCTGTCTTTTATTTGTAATTCTATACACAGCTTTATCTTCTATGAGCTATATACAAGGCTGTTTCTTACTTGTGCTTTTATATTACTGGTTAGATTTGTCTCAATTCTTACATATTATGCTCAAAAAGTGCAAACATATTTCCAATAAATACTAAACATATAATTTAAGTATTATTACATTACATCTCTCAAGTGGGAGGTTCAAGAGTTGCAAGATAAGATAGTTGGATGCTGTAGGCTTCTTTAAGTTCTGCAAGTACTGTAGACATATTTGGTCTTTGTGATGGATCTCTATCAACAGACATGGAAGCAATTGTAGCTGTTTTTCTCATACTCTCTTCATCATATGTTCCTTGTAAGCTCTCATCCACTATCTCAAATACACCCGCTTGAAGATACGGTTTCGCCTGTCAAAATTCCCAATTTTTTTGGTCAAAGGTTGACCTAACATAAGTGTAAATAGAAAAGGAGAAGTTTTTTGAATACCCATAAAACCAAATTGAATGAATCCGGTGATCCAGTTCTCCTTAATGGTTCTCTACCACAAATTAGCTCCAAAAGAACAACTCCAAAGCTATAAACATCACTCTTTTCTGTCAATTGTTGTGTGGAATAATATCTGCATACAAATACAAGTATAGAATAATAGAACTTAGAAGATCACACCTTCTTGTTAGTTTTTACAATTGGATTTTTGACAAAAGAGAAACTCACTCAGGGTCAAGATATCCTGCAGTGCCCTTCACCATAGTTGTCACGTGACTCACATCTGCCTGAGTTACTTGTTTTGATAGGCCAAAATCACAAACTTTAGCATTCATGTTTGCATCCAAAAGTATATTGCTTGATTTCACATCACGGTGGATGATCCGTGGGTTGCTCCCGTTGTGTAGGTAGTCTAAACCTTTTGCAGCATCAATGGCAATCTTAAGTCTACGCACCCAATTTAATGTTATTTTTTTGCTATTTGCTCCTGAAAAGAAGAAGAGCAACTTAAATGATACAACACAGGTCTAGGATTTATAAAACTTGACAGGTGTGAATGACATACCATAAAGATTCTCACTCAATGATCCACCTGGTAAATATTCATAAACCAGTATTTGCTGTTTTGATTCATCACAATATCCTTCAAAAGTTACAAGATTTTGGTGACAAATTGAAGACAAAATGGACACCTGGAAAGAGGAAAATCAATCCAAACATATATTCAACCATGTTATCCATACAAGGTATAGATGTTAAACATACCTCATTAATGAAAGAATCAGCTCCGAGTTTTGTTTTATCAAATCGGACTTTGACAGCTGTCAGTTTTCCATCCGGAAGCTTCCCGAGGTAGACTGACCCAAAACTACCACGCCCTAAAGTCTTCTTAAAGTTGCTAGTGGCTGCTTTGATTTCTCTGTAAGAGAAGGTTTTTGCTGCATTCCAGTTTCTCAAATCCAGGTCAGCTTGCTCACCTTCTCTTTTTTTAGATTGTTCTTTATTTCTCCTTGACCTTATGTATAAGAAAACTGCAATAGACACTGTAATAAGAACAAAAAGTACTCCTCCAACTCCACCAAGTACAACTGCTAAATGGCTATGAAGTTTTTCCTTCTTCTTGTCAAAAACCGAGACTTTTGGTGCATCAATTGATGCATTTGGTGTAGTATTATAGCAATTTGATATGGAGAAGCTTAGACACAGATTCCCGGATGTTCTGCACACAATCATTGTGTTAGTTTGTGTTTCTGTAATTGCTTGGAATCGGAAACAGCGATTCTTGGAATGTCGGAATCGGGACTTTCATACCTTATTTCAAGACTATCTTTGTTCAATGTCTTTGGGATGGTGCCTTGTAGTTGATTGTTTTCCAGACTCCTAATAAATTATAGAAATCAGTGGAACAAAGATTTTTAGCTGATCGATTCACATAGAAAGCACTCATGATTAACTTACAACAGGTGAAGATTCTTCATGGCTCCAAGGCTTTCAGGAACTAAACCTTCTAAACTGTTGTTCTTTAGATCCCTACAACAGAGAAAAAAAACATTGTGATTGTTGTTTTTGATAAATGATCATAAAAATATGATTAAGATGAGCCTTACAGAACTTGAAGGCTGATTAATCCATCCAGATCAGTCCCAAATGATATTAACTTATTAAAACTCAGGTTCCTGCAATTGTATTAAGTCCATACATTTCTTGATTAATAGCCTTAAAATTCAAGAAACAAGAAAAAAAATTTAACTTTAGATGTGTGTTGATCATTACAGATATTCAAGACTCTTTAAGCCACCCAGGTTTTCGATTTCCCCTACAAGTGATGTATTATGAAGATCTCTGCATTATATAACGAAATAAAAGAGTTAAAGAAAAAAAAAAAAAAGAGGAGCTGAATTGAACTGCTTGCATGCTGTTTTTAAGTTCTTCCTCACAGTGTTTTTAGATCGAATAGGTCACTGAATGTAGGACTGATTGACCTCAATTCAATGTCAAATAGTTCCCTACCAATAAGTCAAAAAAAAAAAAAAAACTTAGAAAAAATATTCGAATGTGTTGAAAGTTTTAAATCTGACACATGTTTTTTTTTTATTATTACAATGAGGTGACAGAACTTCCTTCACATTGTATATGTTCCCAGGTTGTTGGAGAACATGGATCATCTTCCCATTCAAGATCCAACCCTGTGGACTCCTGAATAACTTGAAGAGCTGAAACTGCAAAAAAGGGCATGGATGAAAAAGACAGGTTAATAGGTTATATTATAACATGCTTCAGAGGGTTGTACTCTACACTCTACAGTGTACAAGTACAAGTGGGTGGAGGGAGGCTAACCTACTGTTGTAGAGGATTCAGGAGGTATGTTTGCTATCTCATACACTTCAATTGCATTGACAAGAGGGTAGAAAGTAATATCTTTGAAAGTAATATTCAAGTTCTGGATTCCTTTCCTTAAGAAATACAAGCTCCCAACTTCCCATATTTTTACATTATAATTTGATGCAACAACTTCCCCATTAATCAAGATGTCAAAGGTGGGTGAAACCGGAAGAATTCCAGCGAAATATACAACAAGATAGTAATCTCCAAGATTTTGGAGGGCAAAATTGTAACTTAACCCTTCTCGCCTAGCCAAAACTCTACCCGTTTGAACAACGGGTAGAGGAGGACGCTCGTTGAGGCTCCATGTATCAAAAGTTTCAGGGTTACTGAATCCAATTGATGTATGAAAAGGTGAAAATTCTTCATCTGGATCCCATATCCTATCGTATTCATCCAAAGGGTACCTACAATTATAACATCATCTTACTTGGGAACCAATCAAGATTTAAAAAAAAAAAAAATGAATAACAACGGAATCGGAATTCAATATTCCATTCCATGGAGTGTTTGGTGGCCGAATGGACGGAATTCAATTCCATCATGCTCCTTCATATTCCATTTTTGATGGAATTGAATTCCGTTCATTTGTCAGCCGAACATATCATGGAATGGAATAGATTCTCAAATTCCAATCACATTGCATTCTCTAGGAATTTGAATTTTGAGATTTCATTCCATGACAAATGGATGGAATTCAATTCCATTCTTCCTTTTATAATTAAAAACCAAATTACCCACATTAAAATAACAGTATAAGAATTAGTTATTCAATTTTTATTATCGAATTCCATTCCATCTACATTAGGTTTCACAGATTCCATTCATTCCAAAAACATACCTAATAGAGCCATTAGTAAAACCACAGTTGATTCGGTAGCGTTTTCTAAGCAACTTGTTTGTAAAATCTTCCATTCCGTTATAGTAACCTCCTTGAGGCATTGGTCGGATTTCAATTGAAGAAATGACCGGAATCCCACCATTCGGAATGGAATTCAAGCATAACAAAAGAGTCTCTTTGTCAATTTGCCATATGAACTCTTCTACCCATGGATCTTTAAATGATAGGTTAATAGTAGCAGAAACAGCTGTTCCTAGAGAAACAGAAAACATTGGTGGCTGTTGAAGCCCATCATAGTTTTTATACATGAAACTGACCCGAATAAGAATCAAGGATGAATATGTGTAGTTTATTGGTAGCTTATAACAGTTTCGGTTCTTAGGATTTGGGAAAAAACGAATGGAGTCATTGAAATCAAGAGTTGTGGTGTTCCCTTTTGTGATGTATCCATAGTCTGATACCCATGAAATGTTGGAGGAATCAATGAAATTTGTAGCTCTTCCACATGATAAACTCCAAAAACCTGTTGCAAAAATAAGTTAGGATAAAAGACGATAAATGTTTTAAAGAAAAATGTAGCACCTTCTTGATTAGATGAAATGAGGTTTAGGTAGCTTAGAAACAAGAAGGTAGTGAAGAAGCACCAATGGAATTCCATATGATTCAGATAATTCTAGTGATGGAAGACAACCCACCCACAACTTAATTTAAGACATGGGCAATTGGGTTTTTCTTTTCTTTTTCTTTTAGAAAGTATTTAGTTATGGTGAAGTGATGTGAATACTTGATAACTATTATTAGCAATTGCCTTGGATATTACTAATATTGGACTCAAAATAGGAAGTGTTATTTGGGTAATTTTCAAACCTTTTTTCAAGGGATGAGTAAAGGGAGGGACAGTGATCATGAGGACGTGCTGAGGAATTTTACAATCGCAATCATTTAACCTCCACTTTCATGATTATATAAGAAAACGATTTTATACCTTTTTAGTTATTTCTTTTCAAATAATTATTTTTTTGTCCATGAACATCTTCAGTTGGCTATTCTGGTCGGCATTCTGTTTGGTTCGAGCCGAAGGTGGTAACACAATTGAATTGGGCAGGACGTTTATTAGGTTGAAACAAGTATTTATTATTATTATTATTTATTATTTTTAAGTATGAATCAAAAGAGATATTCTGAATTGTTGATAATAAAATAATGTTCAAAGTGACCTATTTCAGGACAATAGTACCATGGTAAGGGTCCTAATGGATACAAAATTTCAAAATACCACATGCATGATTGAACATTTGTAATCATTTAGATGCTATAGCTTCTTTGAGCAATTATAATGGATAAAGTGATTGTTTTGAAAGCTAAATTTTAATTACATTTAATTAATCCTTCAGGTGGATTTTATTAGAGAGTTACTATTGAAATTGATCTTTATCTTAAAGTGAACATTGACTAATGAAGTAATGATGCATAGGATACTTAAACCAACGGCAATATTTCTTTATATATGATTGTTGTTTCACCTTTTCCCCGTTACTTTTGCATTTAACAAGTTGTAATGAAATCAATTATCAAGAAAACAAAAGCTAAACCATTTTTTTTTTCCAGAAATGCAGTGGTGAATCTATATTAGAAAAACCTATAATAGAAAAACATGTGATTTCCTAATTAAAAGTACAGCAATAAAAGTTAAATAATCAACAATATTTGTGGTCGTATATCTTTAAAAATCACACCGATCAGTTCAACTGAAAACTTGTCAAGCCACCAATTCACTAAAATTGGTTAAGTCGGCAAAAAAACAACTTTAGAGAAATATAATTTTGAGGTTAAAGTTTGGCTCGATATTGCTAGCAGTCCCGATTGACTCAATGTTTGTAAACTAATTTTGAATCGGTTGTACACCATATTTATTAGAGTGTGTAAGCTGCAAATCTTAATGAAAAATTTACACAAGATGTATATATATGACAACCAAAATGTTTTGTACGATATAATTATCAAAATAGAGTAAGCTTAAGAAGTTTATTTATGGATTTGAACAAGCATCCCGCAGTTGAAATATTTGTTTTAATGAGAAGTCAAAGAGTTTTGTTTTTTTAGAAGTGAAGATAAGTCATCGGCATATGTCAGAGCTAGTGGGGATTGTTGTAGTTTTCCTTGTACTATATGTCGATGACATTTTACTCATGAAAAGATATCCCAACCTTACAGAGTTCAAAAACTTGGCTTGAGAAATGTTTTCCTTCGAAATACTTGAGAGAAGCATCATGCATACTAGGTATAAAGATCTATAAAGATAGATCTAAGCGAATCATTGGATTTAGCGAAAGTACTTAGATAAAATCTTGAAGAAATTCAAGATGCGGGACTCTAAGGCACTATTTGTTTTTTCTGAGGTAAAATGTCTGCAATCTGCGGACCATATGTGTAGAACTCTGCAGCAGAAGAGGTGGATCAAACGTCTATAGTCTGAAAAAAAAAATATTGTTTGTTTTTTTAACATCTGCAAACTACTAAAATAAACTAAAATCTAAATAAACTGGTTTTTTTAAACTACAAAATGATTTTTTAAATATTTTTATGACTTTGTTCTAAATAATTAACTAATCTAGAGCAACTTTTGTGCATTTTTGTATAAAAAGTGAATAAAAATGATACAAATCAAAGTATATATTAGATAAAAACCAACAATTTTTGTCGCAAAGTTAACTTAAACATTGTAATTAGAAATCAAATAATTTGATACATAAATTGATGGAAATCAACTTTGATTTTTTTCATTTAAATCAGCTAAAAACATGACATAAAATATTTTTCTAGAAAAATTGACGATATTATATTAAATAACGTTTTATAAAACTTGACACAAAAAATATAAGAATATATTATGATTTGTTTTTTCATATTTATATAAACAACTTCAACAACCATTTTTGTAATAAAATTTTTAGAGTAAATTCCACAAATGGTCCCTATGGTTTAGGGTAATTTACACGTTTGGTCCCTAACTTATTTTTTTAACTCGGAAGGTCCCCACTGTTTGTTTTTGTTACGCGCATGGTCCCTATCTTACCTAAAAATACTATTATACCCTTGATTTTTTTAATTTATTTAAATAAACACTCCCCTAATCTCACCCCCTCACATTACCTCACCTACCCCATCATTTTTTTCTCTTTAAATAATAGTCTTTTTAGATAAGATAGGGACCAAACGCGTAACAAAAATAAACAGTAGGGATCAAACGCGTAATAAAAACAAACCATAGGGACCTTCCGAGTTAAAAAAATAAGTTAGGGACCAAACATGCAAATTACCCCAAACCATAGGGACCATTCGTGTAATTTACTCAAATTTTTATTTATAAATTTGTCAAAAATATCATGTTTTATCATCGAACTTTTTTTTAAGTATTGTAAGTTTTTTTTTTCAAATTTTTTATCACTAATAAAGTTGTAATAAATATAAATTCAAAAAACTATAAAAATAAATAAAGATATATGTGTTTTTTTGGGCTAAAAGATATTTGAAGATATTAGAAAACTCTGGTCCACATCTGCGTCAAGAAAAAGGCGCACAAACATTTTTAGGTCTGCAGTCTCCAAAAAAACAAACAGTCTGCAAAAGCTAATGTCTGCGCGTGGTATGCGGCCCCGCAAACAAAAGAGACCAAAAAGATCTGCAGACAAAAAACAAACATCACCTAAGAAAAGGTTTGTTCCTATGCAACATAGTATGACATTGAGCAAAGTTTAGAGTCTTACTTCAAGTGATGAGCTAGAAAAAATGAATCAAGTTTCATATGCTTTGTTCGTGGGATCAATCACGTACACCATGATATCTACTAGGGTTGATATCTCATGTACCTTGAACATGACGAGTCGTTATCAGGCTAACATTGGTGAAAATCATTAGACTATTGTCAAAACATTCTTAAGTATCTTAGGAGGATAAATAACATGTTATTTGTTTATGGAGATATGGAAGAGTGCAATGTAAAGGGTGGTATTGATGCTAGTTTTTAGACTGATAAAGACACTTCTCGTTTGCAGTTAGGATTTGTGTTCTTACTGAACGGTGGAGCAGTGATTTGGAGGAGTTCCAAATAAGATATAATAGCGGATTCGATGACAAAGGATGGGTATATAGTAGCTAATGAAGATGCAACAGAGGCCATGTGGCTAAACAAGTTCATTGATGATCTCAGTATTGTTTCAAACTTAGAGGGTCCTGTTGAGATCTTGACAATGAGGGTGCAATCATCTTGACTAATAACCCAGAACTAAAAAATGCACATGGCATATACTAAAGAATTACCCCTACGTTTAAAAACTTAATGAAGAAGGATACGTCATAGTCAGTAGAGTCACATCGAAAGAGAATCTTGCAAATATGTTAACCAAACCATAGTCGCAAACCATACATCACACTCATACTAGATTGATTGGCATTACATTATAAATTTTATCTAATTTGATGATTATTACGTTTATAATATGATGGATTTCAATCACTTTAATTAATTTATTATTAACTTACTGAATACTGGTTATTAGTAAATTATACATGGAGATTGACATGACATAAAGATGTGATTAATACTCGTGTGTACTTAATAGAGATTAAGTATTCAAGTAACACACTTATAAATAGAGATTAAGTATTCAAGTAACACACTTATAAGATAGTAATATCATATATTTTGAAATGGAAATACATGAGATTCATAGTAGTCATATGAGAAGGTCTAGGTACAACATGATGAATGGGTGGGAACGATATACTTGGGCCTCACGATAATTTGGTACTAACATCAAATGTACGGTTATACTCAAACTAAGTTGATTATGGATCAATAGTGTAGCCTTTTGTTGCTCATAAGAAATCTATATCAAAAACATAATCTTGAATATTATAAAACAAAGTACCATTTTATCACTTAATAAGAATTGTAATACCTCTAGGTTATGAGTATAGATGTACACCTTGTTAGGCTAAAAGCATAAGACCATACAGTTGCTATGACATGTACAGTAAGAGACTCTTCAAATTATGCACATGGTTACAAGTTGGTAACTTCCCATAATTAGCAATGTCATTTTAGGTTACACAATATAATTTATTAAAATAAAAGTTATGATGCATTAATTTGAAACTAATTAAGCTCAATAAATATCTATTATTAAGTCATTTTCTCCAATTTTAAGTAATTAAACTAATTAAGTTATGATTCACTCACCGAGGGAGCCAGCCTCCCCTCTCCTCAAATTATTCATTCATTATCAATCCCTCTCTTGCTCGATCAAGTTTAAAACAAAATGACTAGAGTTCACGCATTCCAATCAAATTTCATTAATTAAAGTCGGTCAAAAAAACTAATCAGCACAAGATTTCAAAATGTCTTCATTTTTTTTGCAAAACCAAGTATCAGAAATTTGAACAAAAACATTTGATTCCACAAAATTAAATCTGAAACACGATAAATTCTCATATTGCAAATAAAGATATAAATAGTCTCCAGCATCAAACACAAAAATTCCTAGACAGAAACTAAGATGAAAACCTTTAGTAGGTAACAGGGGCAAGGATCTCAAGTTGTGGCCCAAGTTTCTCTGCTGCAGCCTTCTCTGCCTTTGCACGCAGTTTATTAAGCTGCTTCTTCCTCTCATACACCACTTGAGCCTTTTCCTTCCTCTTCTTCTCAAGATCCTGCAATAACACCACAACACATAAACAAATCAATTACTATCTGAAACAACTTTTAAACAAATACACCATGAAATAAAACAATGATATTAATAAATAAAGAAGTATGTAAGTTCACCTTGATGGTTTCATAATGATTCCATCCGACCTCAGAAGATAAACGGCCCAATAAGCAGTACTTATGTCCAGCTGTTAACCTCAAAACCCTGCAATTTTATTTTGAGAGAGCCATCTTCAATCAGTTGTTATCAATGTATACAACACGAACTACCTTAAACCAGAATAGTAAAATCTTCCATTCGGGAAAATTTCCAGAAACAGATAAAAACAGTAGGTATAGAATTGATAAAGGTACTAACTTGAGAGCATCAGGGATGACCATTCTCTTCTTCCTGTTGTAAGGAGTAGGAACCCCTTCATAAACCTTCAACCTTGCAAGAGCAGCAGCTCCACGCTTAGTCTTGTGTGGAATCATTCTGCAAATACAACAACAGGCTCAGAACAAGGGTAACAAAGAATAAGAATTTAAGAAAACAACAAGAAATCAATTTGTTCGAAAGCTTTCAGCGGCAACAGAATTATCACATAAGACAACACAACGATGAACCATATGATAGTATGCAAAAGCTAATCATTTGTAACTGATCTTTCTAATCAACCTCATATTCTTCCATTCAGATCACAAATAATATTCAATGTTACAGTCAAGTTCACTAACATAGTGAGTGCTAGTTAGATTGATTTCTGATTATCACAAACAACTTAATCAATCTGAGAAGGGTGGATACGCATTGGTTCAAACTAAGGGAGACGAAATACCATAACTGTTTTTGGAAAGTTTGTGATTGTGATGTACAAGTAAACAAACAGATATGTAGACATAAATGTGTATGATTAGAACAGTTTACCCTCGGATGGTACGCCAGAGGATCTTAGAAGGAGCACGGAAATGGATAGGACCGTGAGACGGCTTGGTGTTCATACGCTTACGAAGAAAACGGAGGTACTTCATTTTCTGACGAACAAGGCCGCCGGAAAGACAGATTTCTTCACATCTAACGACGGTGACTCTCTGGCCGTTGAGAAGTTCTTTAGCCAGAATAGACGATAACCGGCCAAGCATGTGATGGCGAGCATCAACAACCACCTCCTTTGCGCATATTCCCGATCCTGACACCATTTTCTCACCTCTCTTGCTTTCTCTCAAGCCCTACGCCTCCGTCTCTAGAATCGCTGCGAGGAGGAATGTATGTGTTGTATTTAGGGTTAAGGTGTTTAGGGTTTTGTACACTGGTTTGTAGATAAGTTGGGCCGATATTAAAACCCACTTCCAAATCTCATGGGCCGATACCCAAGCAAAATATATATACAACTAGACAAGAACAAAGATTATGCAAGTATTATCATCATATCAAATTTACTTGTATTCTATGTTTTAACAAAATAGTTGGTAAGTTTGATAATAAGATTTGCGACTGATATTCATTCTTTATATATATATATATATATATATATATATATATATATATATATATATATATATATATATATATATATATATATATATATATATATATATATATAATTTGGTATTAGTTGTCAAACTCATGTTTTCTATCATAATATGCAATATCTTTGTGTAAATGATATTAACATATATACTACCATCATAATTATTTTCTTACGATAGAAAAATTAGGTTATAACTTATGTAATACACAGTTAATAAATTAAAATAATATAGATATTTTTTAACATATATATACTTATGTGGTCTTTTCGACGAGTAGTTTTTGGATAACAATTTGTTTCATTTCAGTGGGTTGTATCGGGTGGGAATAAATTTTTTAATAGAAATGACATGTGATGTTGATTTGTGGTTTTGAATAAAGGAAAATTTAAACAAATGATTATGTTTAGTTAAAAATAATGAGAATGAACAGAATCATAAAATATGATGCAGACCGAATAATAATATAAATACATTTGCACTCAATCAATATTTAGAATCTCAACTACTATTGTTCAATAATAGAGAAAAAAGCTTCAAATGACATATAGTTCTTATTTTAATCAAATTATATTTATCGGGACCTTTATGATGACTATTAAATACTCGTGTGAATGTTAGAGTTATATATAATTAAAATTCTAACATGATGACTATTAAATACTCGTGTGAACGTTAGAGTCATATATAATTAAAATTCTAACAGGCCTAGAATGCGTGATTCCGTCTTATTTATTGTTCCTTGTTTGGTTGTAGACTTGGGGTAGACTCACTCATTCGATTATCTTTTCGATCTTAATTATATACGATTAGTTCACACCAAGCGATTATAGAGGGATCTGGTCGGGATCATACTACGAAATTTTATCACTATTTATCGAAGCACTTGTACTGCTAGTACTAACTAATTATGGTGCAAATATTCGCAGTAGAAATAACAAGAATAAAACTGAAAGCACTACAGACAGATACAAAGAATACATTATCGCTCTAAATAAACATCCCTTCCGAATCGACTTAACACCTGTTACAATAAGAAGTTCAGACGTCGTCATTTGACATGGATTGGCTTGGTGCTCACCATACCAGTTTCATGTGTTATGAAAAGACCCTTCGCCTAAACCGACCGACTAATGAAACCCTTTCAATCTATAAAGACAAACCCGACACAAACCTCTGAATCGTCTCTCGCTTCAAAGCTCATAAATACCCACACGAGGGGTACCATGCATTCCAAGCCCACACATGAGATAAGAAATAGGAAGCAAAAAACATCAAGGATGTTCCAGAAGTCCATAAACTTCACAAAGTATTCCCAGCAGATCTCCCGGGAATACCACTCGTATAGCAAGTCAAGATCAAGAAAGGAAACTAAGGAGATGTGGTTCATCTATCATTATTAGGTGTATACGTGAAGGTTGTATATAATTAAGATTCCACAGACTTAGAACGTGTGATTCAGCCTTACTTCATGTTCCTTGTTTGGTTGTGGGCTTAGGGCAGAATCACCTATTCGACTGTCTTTTCAATCTTAATTATATACGACTTGTATATACAGAGTGATGATAGATGAACCAGGTATGTGTCACAACATGAATCCCAAGAAAAAATACTCGGGACTACGGGTGGACACGCTACCAATTGAGTGATGAACCAAATCCATACACTCCTGCCGACCAAAGCAAATATGTGAAATAGTAAAGTCGGCATGAACGCATCATAAAGAGGCTGTGGGACTGCATAGTGTACCACAATCGGTTATTACGGATATGGAACAATCAATTCTCCTAACACTTTCAACCGTCATTATAGAAGCCTTTTAAAAACCCAACTCGTCGTAAGTATAGCTTACCATCCCTAAACAAACAGTTAGAATGAGTGAAACATCCATACATTGGAAGTTATGCCGAGAGCTTGCATGATAGACTTTGGCAAAGCTTGAGATACCCTTTTACCACTCCTCGAGTTCTCATACAACAACTATCACACTAGCATCAGAGTTGCCCCATTCAAAGCCCTATATAGTCGCAAGTGCAGATCACCTTTATGTTGGGTTGAAGTGGGGTGACACACAACTAGTGAAGGGATAAGTTCTTAATAAGACTCTCACCGACCCCGGGATCATATGGGAAAGTACTGAGAAGATCGTTCAAATCCGTGAACAAATGGAAGCTTCTAAATACTAACAGCAGAGTTATACGGAGAAAAGCTGAAACGCCAAAAGAGGACCTGAATAAACCTAGGAACGAGAAAATCAAATGAAACAAAAGTAGCCACATCTTTTCCCCAACCCTTGAAGTTTCATTCACAATGCTAATTTCAGGACAAAATTCCTTCTAACGGGGGGATGATGTGACAACCATCAACTTAGGGTCAAAAAGTCAACCCAGTCAACTTAACTTGTACTAGTATGTGACAACCTGAACCAATTTTTGTTAATGTTAGCCGATTCCGTTATATAAAATTTTCATTTTTATTTAGTTATGTCAAATTTTATGGTTTGGAAAACCGTTTAAGTTATATAATTGAATTTTATATATGATTCGGAACCAAAATCGAGCAAAAACCCGAGTTACTTCGAAAAATCAGGGAATCCAGCCTGACCGGTGTTCACGGCCGTGAACCCGATCACGGTCGTAAACCCGTTCACGGTCGTGAACCCATTCACGGTTGGTGGACCCTATCACCGACCATATCCCCAACCTATATATGCGTGGTTCCTACCCGCATTTATACATTTCCGACAGCAAACATACTTTATCTCTCTCAAAACCCTCACCCGAAAACCCAAGATTTTTCAAGTTTTCACTTCATCTATCACTCTATCCGCCTTGGAACTTGTTTTGGAGCATCAAAACATTCGTTTTTCATCAAATCAAACGTTGTTGTTTTGAGTTCACGACTGCAAACCCTTCAAATATTCATATTTCACCTATAACAGGTTGTGAACCCTTCAAACCTTCAAAGACTGTAAATTCTTCAAGGCAGTAAACAATTCACATCCGAGAACAGTTCGCACCCGAGAACAGTTCAAGGCCGTAATCAGCCCTACACCACGAATCTTGGCTGCAAACCCACTTTTCCAATTCGATCGAGCCTCGGTAACATTCCTTAACCAAAAGCAAGTGTTTTTCTAATACTTTGTATAATGAAATCGCTAATTTTTAGATAGTTAGGATTTCGTTAACTTTCTGTACAACTCAAGGGTCCTCAATTCCAGTCTCGTTGTCCGACACCTACACGTAATCATTAGTGAGTTCATACCTTACGCTTTCATTATTTTAATGTTTTTAGGGAGGGGGAATACAAGCCATACACAAATGATTTTGTGAATTTATACATGAGGATTTCAAACACGCTTAAAAACTGATGCAGTTGATATAACCATACAGTTTCCACATTTTTAAAAAATACGTAGATATTTTATCACTTTTATAACATGTTGAGCATACGGGACATTTTCATCTTACAAGCATAATTGCGTAGTTTTCAGATCAACACACAAGTTAAGTACATAAAATACATGCAAACTATAATAGGTATAGTTTGAGATTTCCATGCACGGTTTTACATTTACAAGCATATAAATTATGACAGACTTAGTTTATGATCTTCAAAGCTATATTTCGGATAACAAGAACACATTACTAAATAATTATTTAAGTATAATTATTACTATACAGGTATACAAACGGATTCAAATACAAGATAACAGTTCAGAATTACACGTAAACTATTTAATACATGATTGTGAGACAACACTTCATTTGTACCATTCGGGGTACTGGCTAAATCCTATCCTTTAGTGTAACCAAAGTCTCCTGGAGGGATAGCGTGAGATTTATGAATAGATTTATTCGTGACTGACAATCCCACGCCTAAACTGTTAGCTACGGTTAGGCAGACATGCCTGAGGTGACAAATATAATATCGTCTGACGCCTGAAAAACGTCGCAGAGGTCATCAGTCATATCAAGCATGGTTATACGACTCACAATAGTATAAACTAACCCTTTTTACGAAATTTCGTTATTCATTAGTTTTATTTTAATTAATAGAACTATTATACATTACACTGGAGGATTCCAAGGATACGATTCATGGTTTTATTTTAAGAAATGAAGCTACTATACATACTGGTGGTGGCCAGGGTTTTCAAATAGAACATTCTATACATTACTGGTGATAGCCAGAGTTTTCATACAAAAGGGTTTTCATTTAAAGTAATGATATACAATACATCTGGTAGTAACCAAACATGCAACTAATACCTTATGGAACACAATAACAAATACATATGTTAGAAAATATTGGATTTTCTTTGGAAGCATACAAACATTTATATATATTCAATGACAGGTTTTCATTACAAAAACATTATTATGAACTCACCAACTTGATGTTGATACTCTTTCAAAAATCGCTTGTATTCTTAGGAAATCAATAGACTGGTACTCCAACAGGCTTTTGAGAATATGGAGCGTATAGACTCACGTCTTTTATATTTTGTTACACACTTGATGTACACAAACTATGTATCAAACATATGTGAATACCTATATTTTTAATGTAATGGTTGTGTTTACTTTGATTACTATGATGCAATTGTATTGATACTGTATATGACGTCCTCCACCCCCGAACGTTTCCGCCATTTCGGTTTGGGGGTGTGATAGATTGGTATCAGAGCTATTGTTTATAGTGAACTAGGTATATCGAACCTTACATGGTATAAAAATATAAACACTAAGAGGTTGAAGTGATCTGAACTAAAAGTATACTTTTTAAAATATAAGTATACATACATACCATAAACAGTATCGCAGTAGAACAAAACCAAAAGTATTTGGATGTTGGACACTAAAGTTAAACCTAGATAGTTATGTAGTCGTGTCTGGAATCAATATAGTCTAATCAACTATATTTATTTGAGACACGACCAACATGTGTTTGGGA